TTGGGACCCTCCCCCCCCTTTGTTCCCCTTCTTAAAAGGCCCCCCCCCCCCCACCCACCCCCTCCCCCTTTTCCCGATTCCAGGGTACTGTAGTCCACGGCCTGGCACGGTACCGTCACGGCACTCTCCCGACCTGGCAACCGACCTGCTGCTGCTGCTGCTTCTACCGCTGCACAAGTACAAACTTTTTTCGTTGAAAGTTCGGTGCGACGGACGAGGGAGGGAACGCGTTTTTTCCGGCATTGTACTGTATTGTAGGCGTTGCTTCCGACGATTCTTCATATTGTTTTTTTTTTGTCCTACTATAGATTATGGTTCGCCGCCTCTAGAACTACAGTAGCGAGAGGGACTGGCTGCGTTATCACCACCTAACACCGGTGGCGTGTGAGTGCCTTCAGGGTTGGTGGTCTTCAACAACGCCCATCCTTTCGTTTTTTCGCTTTGTTTTCTGGTGAAGGAGCAACGGTTCGGGGTTACGTGATAGATTTGGCTCGCAAATAAATGCGGGCGTCAGGTGTCCAACCATTCTGTGAAAAACTTCACCTAAGTGAGTCGTCTCGTGGCTCCAGCAGCAGGTATCCCGCGTGTATTTCTTGTATGCACTATTTGTAGTAGGATCTAAGGGAGACTTGGGGGTTCGTTGTGTGTACTTTGATGATATGATCCGTTTGCTCACATCGCCCTCGATTTTTGCAGAGGCGTGTGTACGAGCGTTAGACTTGGGTGTGGTCGGCCGTCAACAGGTCGGGCCATGCTTTTTTTTGTTGGTGGGACCGGGAATCTGCTACCGTGAGCTCTGGGTTGATGTGTAAACGGAAGTGAAGTATTGAGCCACGCTACAGAGGTATGTAGTTCTCGGCAACCGCGAAGAATTTTATTTGTGAAGAGTGGGGGGGGTCGTGGTCGTGGTGGGTATAGCATATAGACAGGGTTTAGCGGGACCTGCCCCATAGCGATTCCGTGGGAGTTTTTTTCGTTGTTTTGGTAGAGGAGGGGAAGGGGGGGGGCATTTCGCCATGTGTTTCAATGTTCTGGACGTGTGACGCGTGTGTGTTGTTTGTGTCATGTGTGTTTTTTAGTTTTGGTACGCAGGTTCGACTGGTGTTCCAAGAGCAAGAATGAGGCCGTGCGACGGAAATATGTGTTGTCCATTTTCTCCGACGGCCGGTGTCGGCATTCGCCACAGAGTTTGTTGTTTGTGTGGCCAACCGCTTCCTAAGGCAGAGGCGTGCGGTTTGTCGTACTACAGCTCATGGAGGCGTATGCATACATGTACCGTACCAGCAGCTCTTCCTGCTCTCAGATTTTTAGGATTTTTTTTTTTGCTGTCCTTTCGCGTGCACTGGCCGAAGGAGATTGCGGCGGATGAGTGGCATGTTTTTCGACGAAGAGCGAATTGTTTTGTGGGAGGGAGGGAGGGAGGGAGGGTGAGCGGGTTGCATGTATAGACTAAAGCAGTTGCGTGGTATCTATCTATCTATCTTATCTATCTATATTTCTGTCTTTTCTATGCCGATAGATGTGTGCTCATTCCGTGCAAGCTACTTCAAGCATTAAAAATGTCTAGTTTTAATTTACCGTATAATTTACATACCCCGTGCTGTAGGCGTTGTCGCTGTCTCTGTTTTAGTGTCGTCGTGGTTGTCGGAGTCTGAGACGAAGCGGGGGGGGGGGGGGGGGGGGGGGGGGGGG